TGAAAGGTATAAATAAGGGGGGGAAGTTCGGGGTGAAATAAAAGCTTTTGGCAAAAAGGTGGGTGGGGGCAGGGGAGTAGTGGGGGGGGGGGTTGAAGAGGGTTGGAGTGTTTAAAAAGCAGTATTAAATGTGGGGCAGAAGTTTGTGGGTTTTAGGGGGGGGGTGCCCGGAGGAAAAGGAGTGATTGGGGGGAATATGAAAATAAAGGGGGTGATAAAAAAGGAAAAAAAGGGGCTTATGAAGGTTTTTTACAAAGCAGAATCTATAAAAGAGTGATATATGGAAATAAGAGAAAGGGAAGAGAGTGGGGAGAGAGGCAAAAGTAGAGCAAATGATAGAGTGGGAGAGGTACTGTCAAGAAATTTTAATGAAAATAAGAAAAAATTTTGGAGTGAGTTAAACAAGTTAAGAAAGCCTAGGTAACAAATGGATTTGTCAGTTAAAAACAGAGTAGGGGAGTTAGTAGATGGGGAAATGGAGGTTTTGGGTAGATGGCGAGAATATTTTGAGGAACTTTTAAATGTTGATGATGAAAGGGAGGCGGTAATTTCATGCACTAGCCAGGGAGGCATACCATCTTTTAGGAGTGAAGAGCAGGATGTGAGTGTGGGGGAGGTGCGTGAGGCATTACGTAGAATGAAAGGGGGTAAAGCAGCTGAAACTGATGGGATCATGACAGAAATGTTAAAAGCTGGGGGGGACATAGTGTTGGAGTGGTTGGTATTTTTGTTCAGTAAATGTATGAAAGAAGGGAAGGTACCTAGGGATTGGCGGAGAGCATGTATAGTCCCTTTATATAAAGGGAAGGGGACAAAAAAGATTGTAAAAATTATAGAGGAATAAGTTTACTGAGTATACCAGGAAAAGTGTACAGTAGGGTTATTATTGAAAGAATTAGAGGTAAGAGAATGTGGAATTGCGTATGAGCAAGGAGGTTTTAGAGTGGGTAGGAGATGTGTAGATCAAGTGTTTACATTGAAGCATATATGTGAACAGTATTTAGATAAATGTAGGGAAGTTTTTATTGAATTTATGGATTTAGAAAAGGCATATGATAGAGTGGATAGGGAAGCAATGTGGCAGATGTTGCAAGTACATATATGGAATAGGTGGTAAGTTACTAAATGCTGTAAAGAGTTTTTATGAGGCTAGTGAGGCTCAGGTTAGGGTGTGTAGAAGAGAGGGAGACTACTTCCCGGTAAAAGTAGGTCTTAGACAGGGATGTGTGATGTCACCATAGTTGTTTAATATATTTATAGATGGGGTTGTAAAAGAAGTAAATGGTAGGGTGTTTGGGAGACGGCTGGGATTAAATTATGGGGAATTAAATACAAAATGGGAAGTGACAGTTACTTTTTGCTGATGATACTGTGGTTATGGGAGATTCTAAAGAAAAATTGCAAAGGGTAGTGGACGAATTGGGGAGTGTGTGTAAAGGTAGAAAGTTGAAAGTGAACATAGAAAAGAGTAAGGTGATGAGGGTATCAAATGATTTAGATAAAGAAAAATTGGATATCAAATTGGGGAGGAGGAGTATGGAAGAAGTGAATGTTTTCAGATACTTGGGAGTTGACGTGTCAGCGGATGGATTTATGAAGGATGAGGTTAATCGTAGAATTGATGAAGGAAAAAAGGTGAGTGGTGCACTGAGGTATCTGTGGAGGCAAAAAATGTTATCTATGGAGGCAAAGAAGGGAATGTATGAAAGTATAGTAGTACCAACACTCTTATATGGTTGTGAAGCTCGGGTTGTAAATGCTGCAGCGAGGAGGCGTTTGGAGGCAGTAGAGATGTCCTGTCTAAGGGCAATGTGTGGTGTAAATATTATGCAGAAAATTCGGAGTGTGGAAATTAGGAGAAGGTGTGGAGAGCTGAAGAGGGTTTGTTGAGGTGGTTTGGTCATTTAGAGAGAATGAATGAAAGTAATATGACATGGAGAGCGTATAAATCTGTAGGGGAAGGAAGGCGGGGTATTGGTTGTCCTCGAAAAGGCTGGAGGGAGGGGGTAAAGAAGGTGTTGTGGGCGAGGTGTTTGGACTTCCAGCAGGCGTGCATGAGCTTGTTAGATAGGAGGTAATGGAGATAAATGGTATTTGGGACCTGACGAGCTGTTGGAGTGTGAGCAGGGTAATATTTAGTGAAGGGATTCAGGGAAACTGGTTATTTTATATAACTGGACTTGAGTCCTGGAAATGGGAAGTACAGTGCCTGCACTCTAATGGAGGGGTTTGGGATATTGGCAGTTTGGAGGGATATATTGTGTATTTCTCTACATATATAGTACTTCTAAACTGTTGTATTCTGGCACCTCTGCAAAAACAGTGATTATGTGTAAGTGAGGTGAAAGTGTTGAATGATGAAAGTATTTTGTTTTTGGGAATTTTCTTTTTGGGTCACCCTGCCTCTGTGGGAGACAGCCGACTTGTTGAAAAAAAAAAAGTGTATTAGTATAATAGAGTATATACTTGTTCAAAACTCACTTTACCTAATATAGGAGGGCCCTGCTTATACAGCGGGTTAGGTTTCGGGCTACCACTGTAAAGCGAACATAGCTGTAAAATGAAACAGCCTATTTTCACTTTCAAATGCCTGATAACATCTTTACACTATCATATATTAAGAGAGTAATAGAGCTAGGCCTAAGAAATGCATATACAGTACATGCATACCTTAAAATATGTTCGTCTTTAGCTTATAGTGAGCGGCGAATAAATTTATTGTAGGAAGTCTGAATAAATGGAGAATGAGTATAATTGAAAACTGCTGCATAGCGAAACACTGTAAAGCGAAGTGTTGTCAAGCGGAGTCCTCCTGTACTTTCGACTCATTCTTGAATACGTATGGAAATCGTGCTTAGCAAAACATAAAGAGAGACTTGAGAGTGCAAAGGAGTGTATCAAGGCTGGTTGGTGCATGAGCTGGGATAAAAATAAGCTATGAATAATGTGAGAACTAACTAAAGACCCTAGTCACTGGAGGAGCAAACAAAAAGAATGTGATTAAAAAATTCTAAATATGGGCAAAATGGGGCATTGTTGGAAATTACCTACCCAAATGAGTTGTAGAAGTAATAAGGGAGTATTTTTTCATCATGACTAGTAAAGTGGAATGAATCAAATGGGGAATGTGGAAGCAGACTCCATACAGGCATTCAGAAATTTTTATGGCAGGGCTCAGTTACATCAGTAGGTGGGAAGTTCACAGGATGGGGGGGTGACCAAGAGCTGGAGCAAATTCAAATAGGTATTGCATGCATAGTGAAGTATGTTGTGGGTTATTTAGAAATATATAGCTGAAGCCATGAAACTTTTGTAAATATATAACTATGCTTGTTTGAGAACTGGGTAGTTTAATTTAATGTGCCTTTATTTTACAATTATGAAGATCTAATTTATGAAGCCTTGTTTGTTTTAGTTTCATAATGCATCTCAGCACGTAAAAATAAGATTATATTTTTAGGTTTTGGTCTTAACAGTTTCTTGAGACAGTTAGCCAAGATAAAGTGCATGGTAGATATTTACTGCTGCTTGTGTTGGTAGGATTATTATAACTGTCTTCATGGGGAAGCATTAAACCTGGTAATGCAGCACCTGAGGAATGGAAAGTAATAAGATGTGATCCAAGGAAGGCAAGATTAGTTCTAGTTTCTCGGATTACAAACCCTTCCAGCACTGAGGCGCCCCTATTAAGAATAGTTGTGGTAGGAGTACAGCAATGTGTTTAGTAGATATTTCTTGTTGAAGTAAATATTGTATGTTGAAAACTTTTATTGTTGTTATGTCCAGGTGTTTTAGCAGGGGCATGTACAGCACATACAGCTTTGTATTATTGTTGATATTAGTCATTTTACATATTTGGATGGCACTAAATTTCGAGAGAATGGGAAATGAAATTGCAATTTTGAGACTAATGGCCATGGCACTAGGTGTGGAGTGTTCCATGGGATATTTTTCATACATGCCCTGCTATTTTGTTTCCTCTGTACTACTCTCTTAACATTTTCTTTCATTGTTCTTCACTAATATTCATATTGTTTTATCTTTTCTAAAGTTTTTTAGTTAACTTTAGATTTTAAAAAATTTTAGTATCCATGTTTCCTTTGCTCACTAATTTTTAATTCTTAGCATACACATTCATATGGCTAGTGAAAATGGTCAACAAAATCTATAGACAGTCATGTAGGCTTGAACCCAGGTTAATTAGAGGGCAATTTTCCTGCACCATGCTGGCCTAAAACCCAGGCTAGCCAGGTTGCATTTGCCCACCTATACCCCTACACTATGGGCCACAAGTATTGATGTGAGGATAGTTACTTAGTCTATTAAAGATTTGGCACCATAAGCATAGCTTTACTCAAGCACTTATGTTCAATAATATGTGAAATCTCACTTTACATTGAAAGGTGTGAAAGCCATATTAATGTTAACCTTGAGGTTTGAGTGCTGCAAGGTATTGAGTAAATATTATTTGTGGTAACATTGGGGGCCTATCACAACAGATAGATAAAAGAAAGTTTTTTGATTCAATAACAGTTTACCATTGTCATGTAGGAGGGTAGATATGGGAATGCTACCTGGCAGACTCTGGCTAAGCCCACAAGAATCTTTGTTTTCACTTTTTGTAATATTCATGAAAGTGTGAAATCTGTGGAATGACCAACAGGTATTATACTCAAACCACAATATATGTCAATTCAAAGCCTCCCAGGCTTTGTCATATCTGAAGTTTACCTGAAGATTGTCAAATGGTGTTTATCCTCACTGCCAGGTCCCAGACCAGGCTTTCTTGTTGAGAATCTGACTTGGGAAGTTGTTGGTGCTACCAATACTCAGTCCCAAAAGCATTCGTATATCTTTTTTTTAACACCTCACTTTTAAGCCTTTTAGAATGTCTGTCCTATATTTTCTATACTGTACTTCTCTGCTGATTTTCCAACATCCTGGCTTTTGTCCCATGGAACACTTGAAGTAGTGTGCATGTTGTTGGCGATGGTTCACAGGTGGTACGATGGTGGGGCCGTAGAGGAGGGAGGCAACTCTTTCCGGTCACTGGAGGGAAACGAGGGCACCCTGGATATAACCACCACAGAGGATAACCAAGAATCCTCACCCACTTTGGAACACAAGGAAACTTATAAATCCATCCCGGATTCAGATCAGCGCACTCCAACCCCTCCTCCAAGCCCACTTCCTCTTGAAAGCCCATCCAACGATGCTGACTCTGTCCCGAGTGCTCCTATTGACTCCGAGCACGATACCAACAAGTAATTTACCGCTAAATTTCATTGGGTGGCAGTTTTAGGGTGCTTTGGCTCAATTTTGCCAGCAGATAATTAGACCAAAGCCTTCACTGGATACCATCAGTTCTATATGAACACAACACCTGTAGTATAGATGAGCGAAATTCTTCTTGTATTTGATTTCTCCAATATTACAGTTAGTACACTATATGGATAAAAGCATTATGGATTCTAAATTAGTCAGCTTTATAATAAAATGTTTCTAAGTGGAACCATTGAAGGTATGATGAGTGCCATGAAAAGTTATATAATGTATGTTTTTGTAAAAAAATTATTGCTTAATAATGCTTTGCTTGTATTGTTGGAAAGTTGTGAATTCAAAGTGCTTGGGCAATTAGGAAGAGGTGATAGAAGACTGTTGATTGCCATTCAGGCATAGCTTCATGAGGTCTTATTAGTCCTGTGTATTTGGCTATCAAGTGTATATTTATTCAGACTCATTGACAGGTGTACTAAAAACTTTGGTTACTAGATACATATCTTCTGTTAGATGTCAAAAAGGCCTGTATCTGTGCTAGGAAGCCCTGTTAAAGAATTACGAAGTTTGATGAACTATTTTGTAAGTAACACAGGTACTGCTTCTGTGAAATGATTTATGAAAGAGCAAGGATGGTCCTGTGAACCAGGAGGAAATTGGAAGTACTGGTAGCTTTAAGGGAACAGAAAATGTTTATGTAACATAAAACAAAAAAGTACATCAATGGTAAAATGAAGTTAAGAGTGTATTGAACAATCACTTAGTATTATTTATGGCATTTTCAATATTGTATAAGAAAAGTTATAGAAAAAGAAAACTGATATTGTAACATTTCTATTAACTAGAGAATGGAAGGCCTTGAAATGGCTTCTTAAATACTAATCTCTGAATTGTGTACTTATATCTTTTAGTAACTTGTGTACTGTATAACCATTGGTCAGGCAGTATTATGTCCACTAAGTCCTCTTTATATATACACATGCTGGACATAAAAAGAATCGCTTATACTTGGGATCAGAAAGTAAGGACTTGTGGTTTTCTTTGCAGTATCTGATTGTGGCCTTAAAAAAGACCATTGGACATCCTTTATTCCCCTTTGCTTAAGATTCTTGCACTCCTTAACTGGTACCTAGGAACACTCTCTAGACCATTTCCTTTGGTGTTGGTTTTATCCTGTAATATAAAACATTAATAGTTTGCCATTTCACTAGAATCTAGACAAGCAGTTTGTCTATGGAATACCTAGCTGCTATTTTAACTTTGTAATAATCTTAACTCTTGAAACATTAGTACTACTTCTATTTATTTTAAGTGATTAATTCTGCTTTCATTTGCCTGCCATGTAAAAATATACAAAATATTAATTCTTTTTATTTAAAATGAAAATATAATTTTGTAAAGGTATTTGATTTCATAGTTTTCTCTTTCAAGATATTTTTTATTTTTCTGATATAGTACTATGACATTAATAATAGCTTACCCCCCAAAAAAAAAAAAATCATTCATCATTTGCTTTGTATGTCAGTTAGTTTTTTTTTAAAATGCATTTAGTATTTTTGGCACTGAAAATTATTATGTAGTTAACATGCTTGATGTCCTCTCGTTGAGCAGCCGCCCCACTATTTCTGGCCCGGTTACCACCAACAAGGAAGAGACTGGCCGCCCTTACGAAGAGATCGAATTTGAGGACAAAAAAGTAAATGGTACTGTGTCTCCTCAAGCCCGAACCAACGGTGAAGTTATTGGCACCAAGATCCCACCAGGTGAGCCATACTGCTGACTGCTAGTGAATGAATTCTTATTGTGAAGAAACAAGTGAATGTTGCATTTCAATAATGGTAAATGTGTATTGAACTTCCTGGAGAACTAGTTTTGTTTGTAAGGTCCTTTTGTCAACCAAGGTAATATAAACCTACTGCTTATTTTTCTTCAGTGACTGTACATTAACTATATCGATTGTGTATATTCTTAGATGTCTTTGCTGGGTTGTCTATATTGTATAGGATTATCTAATTGAATATTCCTATTGATTCTATTCTCATTAATGACTTCTCCATGCATCAGTTACAAACGTTCAAGCTGTACACCTTCTTACAAAACATTGATTCTCCTTTTGTTAACCTGCATTAATTTATTTGATATGGTCATCTTAACTTATTAAACTTTTACTCTCAAATTTTCATTTTAAATACAGAAGGTAATATGTGTAATTGCCTTCTTGTAGCTGCTTAACCCTTTGAGGGTCGCCAGGCCCTCTCACAGACTTGTTCTCAGGGTCGCCAAAATTTCAAAAAAAAAAAAAAAAAAATTTTTTCTTATGAAAAGATAGAGAATCTTTTCCCGATCATAATGACACCAAAAGTATGAAATTTGATGGAAAATTTACGGAATTATGCTCTCTCGAAGTTAGCGATCTCAACGATGTTTACGCATTGGCGATTTTGCGCACTTTGAGCCCTATTTTCGGCCATTTCCAGTGTACTAGTTGACAAAAATCATAAATATTTCACTAGAACTCTGTTTTTTCTATTGAATGAGTACAAGAAACCACCCATTTACCGATTTCAACTATCCAATAAAGTGGTCAGAATTTAGCAATTTTACCAATTTCACACAAATTTCAAAAGATGCCAATTTCCAAATAGGGTCCAGAATAAGCAAGAAAGACATTCCTGGCACTAAAATAACATTTCCTCTGTTCATTAGTCACGTCCCCAGGCCCTTCTTACATTTCTTTTGCTTTCCACTTTGATTTTTTATTCTCACAAAAATAATAAGATTTACTGTTATGCAGACTACTGCATTAGTGTAGAAATGGTATAAATAATATCGGCACACTTGTGAAAGAATATTAGACTCACCAGTTGACATGTATTGGACGCTTGGCATGATTTGTTTACTTTTGAACTTTGGTAAAAATCGAACATTTCTGCTACTTTGAGCTCAATTTCAAGGTACTTTTCATTGTAAAACCAGTCAAAATCATCTCAATTTCTGTAATATGTCTTCCATTCTATACAATGAGACCAGGAAAACTAGAATACAACAATAAATACCATACGAAAATACAGTGCAAAGTCGCTGTTTTAAAGCAATAACACGGTCAAGGTTTTTTTTTTCTTATTATGCACTGTGTGCTGCAGGATTTTTTTTATACTGTGCACACTGACCACATAGACCCATTCTTTCATATGTACGCCTACCAGCTTTCTCTTGCTAGATTTGAGGGCGCTAGAATTTTTTTTTTTTTTTTTTTTTCAACAAGTCGGCCGTCTCCCACCTATTCAGGGTGACCCAAAAAAGAAAGAAAATCCCCAAAAAGAAAATACTTTCATCATCATTCAACACTTTCACCACACTTGCACATTATCACTGTTTTTGCAGAGGTGCTCAAAATACAACAGTCTAGAAGCATACACATATAAAGATACACAACATATCCCTCCAAACTGCCAATATCCCAAACCCCTCCTTTAAAGTGCAGGCATTGTACTTCCCATTTCCAGGACTCAAGTCCGACTATATGAAAATAACCGGTTTCCCTGAATCCCTTCACTAAATATTACCCTGCTCACACTCCAACAGATCGTCAGGTCCCAAGTACCATTCGTCTCCATTCACTCCTATCTAACACGCTCACGCACGCTTGCTGGAAGTCCAAGCCCCTTACCCACAAAACCTCCTTTACCCCCTCTCTCCAACCCTTTCGAGGACGACCCCTACCCCGCCTTCCTTCCCCTATAAATTTATATGCTTTCCATGTCATTCTACTTTGATCCATTCTCTCTAAATGACCAAACCACCTCAACAACCCCTCTTCTGCCCTCTGACTAATACTTTTATTAACTCCACACCTTCTCCTAATTTCCACACTCCGAATTTTCTGCATAATATTTACACCACACATTGCCCTTAAACAGGACATCTCCACTGCCTCCAACCGTCTCCTCGCTGGTAAATGCGCTAGAATTTATGCATGCTAATATGTCAAAAACCCTGGCTCGTAAGTCGTACTAGTATGGCCGAAACCCCGAAAGGGTTAAGTAGAGCTATGCTTATGGTGCCAAATCTTTAGTTTTTTAACATCAGCCACATGTTCTGCCAAGGCAAATTGGCCCACAGTACCAAAACACGTTCACATTCAGTCATTTCCTAGTTGTCTTTCGAGAAATGCACAAAAATTACAGTCCAGATTATCCACTGAACCATAACATCATCTATCTACTATCTATCACATTATCTGCGAAGTTTTTTCCAATGTCCTTTCTGTACCATTTTTTCATAATTAAAAATAATGGTCTTTTTTTTACTCTTATTGCTAAAAAAGGTACACTGTATCAAGAAATCTTTATATCTATTTTGTTTTATTTATGAACTTACATAATTCGGCATACTACACTGTCTTCAAAGAAGTAGCACAAATGGTCATAACGTACAATACAGTATATAAAGGTTATATTCATTAACCCTTTCATTGTCGGTCCCATAATACTTCGCCAAAATTCTAGCTGCTTCCAGTCTTGTGGGAGATAGCTGATAGGCCTACATATGAGAGAATCTGTCTGATTAATCAGTGTGCAGAGTATAAAAGAAATCCTGCACCACGCAGTGCATAATGAGAGAAAAAACTATGAGTGTTTTTGGTTTAAAACAGCAACTTTGCAGTGTATTTCCGTGTGGTATTTATGGTTGTATTCTTGTTTTCTTGATCTCATTTGAAAGAATGGAAGATGTATCACAGAAATAGAGATGATTTTGAATGGTTTACAGATTGAAAGTACCTTGAAATTGAGCTCAAATAGCAGAAATTTTTTATTTTTGCTGATGTTCAAGAGTAAACAAATCATGCCACGCATCCAATACACATCAGCTGATGGGTCTAATATGCTTTCACAAATGTGCTGATATTATTTATACCATTTTTACAATACTGCAATAGTCTGCATAACAGTAAATCTTCTATTGCTTTGTGTAATAAAAATTCAAAATAGAAAGCAAACGTAATATAAGAGGGGCCTGGAGACATGACTAATGAACGGTGAAAAATGTTATTTTAGTGCTAGGAATGATTGCATTGTTAATTCTGAACCCTATTTTGAAATTGGGCTTCCTTGAATTTTGTATGAAATTGGCCAAATTACCAATTTCTGATCACTTTATTGGGTAGTTGAAAAAGGTAAATGGGCGGTTTCTTGTACTCAGTCGATAGAGCAAAAGGAGGTCTAGCAAAATAGCTATGAGTTTTGTTGATGGGAACAATGTAATTGGCCAAAAATAAGGCTTAAAGTGGCTGAAATTGCCTATGCGTAAATATCGTCAAGACCACTAATTTTGCAGGAGCGTAATTCTGTAAGTTTTCCATCAAATTTCGTACTTTTTGTTTCATTACCATCAGAAAAAGATTTTCTGTCATTTCATAAGAATTTTTTTATTTTTTTTAAATTCTTCAACACTAAGAGCAAGTTTGCAAGCTGGGGTCTCAACGGTGAAAAGGTTAAAGCTGGAATAGTAAAAATTTTAATCAAACCACTTAATAAAGAAGAATGAGAATGCAAGCAAACTGCAAATAATGTAGGTTGCATATCAAAGAACCTTCAAAACAAATAGGTGCCAAGCTAGTATTCTTCAAGGCACCTATAAGATCTTAGACTGGAATATTGCATTACACCAAAAGCCCCATTAAGGCAGGAGAAATAGCAGAATTGGAGAATGTACAGACCTCCATTGTATCAGTTGAAATACTTGCATCAGTTCAGTTCCTCAAACTATACTACCTATTAAGCAGGTAGAAGATAATCCTAATATATTCGCTTGGAACTGGTTCTAAACCTGCACACTGAAATAAACTACATTTAACAAAAGTAAGTCTCGGTAAATTGGGCATCCCAGTGAAAAGCAGGGTTGCAGTTAGTGCACTAAGAAATAAATATAAAGGGTTCAAAGCTTTTCACTGCCCTCCTTACACATATAAAGATAATTATCTATAAACACTGAAATATTTTCAAGAGGGAATATTGAGATTTTACAGCTGAGCTGTAATGACTAGGCTACTATTATGAGCACTAACAACTTGAGTGACCAAGTCATCAATAAGGAGGCCTAGTCTGAGGCTAGGCTGCAAAGGGCAAGTATCTCCCCAACAATCAACAGATAAGTAGCTGCTAACATTTGGTATAGTACCTGTACTCCTGATAAATTAGACACATGTGCAACTCTTGGGTATGCTTCTGCTTGTTCTACACAAATTTTATCTTCTTGAAACTGTAACTATATGTGCATATTATAATTGTCACTGATGTCTGGAGTAATGTTATACATTAAGTGTTCTCTGCCAATAAGTAGTCATTTCTTCTCACCATGATGCTCTCTTTTTTACTAAATATCCTTAATGGGCACAAAGCAATTTTTTAATGGATATAAATTTTGCTCATGATTTTTCATCCTACAATATAAATTATATAAAAAATAGTGTAAATATAATTATGCCAGGACTAGTCATGCACTCATATATACTAATGTTTGTCATTAAAGTATGCTGCCCCAACCCTCTCTAAACCCATGACCAGAAAATAGTTTGTCCCTTGCTCGTCTGGGAAGTGATCAACAGACATTCTTCGGGGTTTCATGAAGGTAAATTCCTCCATGCTTATGGATGGCATCCTAAAGATACGAGAGTAGGCCTTCTACTCAGCATACTTTAATGATGAGCACTGCACATAAAGTTTAGAGATTAAAATAGCAAAATGTTTTAATGAGGTAGAAT